TTACAATGCATTAAATACAAGTGTCTAATAATTCACTTCTAGATTTTTCTAAAATAATATAAAACTTCAAAGTTCTAAAAGATGAATCGCTCTCATGCTCCAGATACTCGTGCCTCATTACCTGCAAAATAACTAAAGGGGGAACAAATTCAGCATACAACAGCTGGTAAGGCTTACTCCACCCTGTAAAACATTTTACACATAACACATAACACCTTGGAGCACATAATTCCACATTAACCCCTTAATCATATTATACTTTCAACATTCCCTCATACCACCTCTTCACATTTAATTACCAATTACCCATTTAACCACATAATAAATCTAATTTATAATTTCACATAGCATTTCAGAATGTACCATAACATAAATTAATTTAACATAAAATACCATAACTTCCACGTTTGACCACTTTTTCTCAATATTAGGATTTAATCCTTTATTTACCACCAAGTCAATGAGGAGGAGAAATACAAGGCAAGGACCATTACTTCGGCCCCAGTGACCAAACCCAACCAATCAGAGACCAACCCAGTTGGCTCGAGATCAATCCCTTAAGTATGCATACCCCCATTGAGAGACCAACCCCAATGGGTAGAACGAACTCGATTGTGAGAGACCAACCCCACAAGATCCATAACCAAAAGTGAGAGACCAACCTCACAATAAAAATCCAAGCACAAATCCTCCATGACCAAAGTTAATTAAATGTAAGTTTTATACCAAATAATTTGTTCTCTCCACCATAATCAAATATATATAAGTATATGTATAATATAACACACTTTCACACTTGTCCAAATATACACAATGTATCTGTATATATAGCTATATAAACATAATAAAAACCAAATAAACTTTATTCTTTAATCATTCCTTTATACACAGTATTCACGCACTACTATGTGTATATGTAAACATACTCAATACAACCAATATATTATTTACCTATACATTCCAGAACATATGATTCCATGTACTCAATATCAAGGCACATCAAACAATTTTCATATAGCACACAATATTCACGAAGATCATTAATCACATATCAATCATTCAAAAATAGCAAAATTGTTCTTTGAGGAAAATTATTTTCACATAAACACTTTGGAAAAAAATCAATTTTGATTTGGGGTAAAAGAATTTTGAGTAGACATAAATCTTACCTAAATTCTGAAATCAACACAAAAACCCTTGAATCAAATCCTATAGTCGCTCCTCTGTAAACTCTCCTTCAAATTGATAAGAAGATATGTGAATTGACTATGGTGATTGACGATGTTTTTTTTCCGCTGGTGAAGCCAATTGAGAAAAAAAAAAAAAAAAAAAGAGAAGAGAGTAGGCTGACGAAGAGGGGAAAGGTTTTTCAATCGTTATGTGTTGGACCCGTGTCCAGCGTGCATGCTGGACATGGGTAACAGTGCCGTTAAGCACTGTTATCTCTCTTTTTTTTTTCTTTTTTTTAAAAAAAAAAAAATTCACACCGCTTCGTTATAGGAGTATATGTTCATAATTTTATTACTATATGTTAATAACTGTACATTCATAACTCAATAACTGTACGTTCATAACTCTATAACTGTACATTCATAACTCCATAACTGTACATTCATAACTCCATAATTGTACATTCATAATTTTCGAAACTCTATGTTCACAATTTTAGAGCTCTATGTTCATAATTTTATCACTATATGTTCATAATTGTAAGTTCATAATGTCAGAGCTCTTTGTTCATAATTCGATCAATAACTGTACATTCATAATTCCATAACTGTAGATTCATAATCTCATAACTGTAGATTCATAACTCCATAACTGTAGATTCATAACTCTATAACTGTACATTCATAACTCCATAACTGTACATTCATAATCTTCGAAGCTCTATATTCACAATTTTAAAGCTCCATGGTCATAATTTTATCACTATATGTTCATAATTGTAAGTTCATAATGTTAGAGCTCTGTGTTCATAAATTCATAATTGCATAACTGTACATTCATAACGGCATAACTGTACATTCATAATCCAAAAAAAAATAACGCCGTTAACAGCAAAACACGCGCGAATTATTTTTTTTAAAACTAAATGATGTATTTTTTTTTTTTTGAAAAACGACGTCGTTTTGGGCCCGTGTCCACAATTCATTGTGGACACGGGTCCAGGGTATAATTTGCCAAGGTTTTTGGAGTCGGCTAAGAAGGAATTAGGTTTTCTTTTATTGTTTTTCTTTTTCCCCCGGACGTGTGCGTGTAGTGAATATATATACCTAACATAGTAATAACAATATGCATACTAACTTAAGTGGGCTTGTGCCCTTAGAGATATGTATATAATAATATTATAATTTAGGTTCATAGCAGTGTATATAATATATACGTAATGTATATATAGATTAGTTTATGAAGTTAGGAATTACTTATTATATATAGCTTAGAAATTAGAAATAAGGGAGGGCTATAAAATAATAATAGTAAACTATTCCCAAAAGATTTTTGGGTCAAACAAAAATAATATAATAATAACTTTGAAGGATAGTAATATCAATATAATATTATAAAAAATAATTAGGGTGTCACAGTGTCATCCTAAAACAGGCTGAGGAGATGGGAATAGTCGAGTTCCCACCAGAGTGTATGAAGGTCTCCCCAAAAGGAGACCAAGCAAAGTACTGCAGGTTCCATAGGCAACCCGGGCATGACACGGATGAATGTAACGTGCTGAAGAGGCAAATAGAAGAACTCATACAGCAGGGCTACTTCCGGCATTTTGTCAAGCGATCCAAGCAGCAACAACAGTCGCAACACGATCCATCAAAAAATCCACCAAAGAATGTCTGGAGGAAGGAGGATGGCGCCGAGCCGTCCACCTCGAACGCCAAGAAAAGAGAACATAACCAGATATCTGAGCAGGATGATAGCGAGAAGGAAACCGAGGTGGTGCCCAGACGACAAAAGAAGCACACCATACACTTTATCTATGGTGGACCTGCGGGGGGCGACACACTCACAGAAAGGAAGAAGTGGAGCAGACATCTGTACGTGGGAGAAGTGGTAAGTCTTCCCAAAGGAAAGAAGCAGAGGCGGGAGGCTATCACTTTCTCTGACGAGGACCTCCCCGAGGGTCCCTTACACCATCGTGACGCACTAGTGATTAAGATGGACATCAATGATATGATTGTACATCGTATTTTGGTCGACACGGGGAGCTCGGTCAATGTGATGTACTACGATGTCTTCACCAAGTGGGCTACTTAGAGGCCAGCTCAAAGAGGTACGAACTCCACTCTCTGGGTTTACTGGGGATTCGGTGGAAACAGAAGGGTCGGTGACTCTGCCCGTGGAGGTAGGCACGGGCCCCAACATTCGCAAGCTGGACATGGAGTTCATCGTGGTAAGACTCACTTGTGCGCACAACATCATACTAGGGAGGCCAGCACTGGAGGACCTCAAGGTCATAGTATCGGTGGAACACTTGTGTATGAAGTTCCCTACTCCGAATGGAATAGGAGTCGTCAGAGGGGACCGACGGGCAGCCCGCAGTTGCTACGTGAAGGCATGCAAGAAGATTGACAGTAAGGACCTACGGGTCCACACGATCGCGGATAAAATTTTCAAAAAAGAAGAGGCCTGGCCCCGCGCCAGAAACGGAAGATATAGTTCTGGATCCCTCCAGACCAGACCGAGTGGTGAAGATCGGCACAGGCTTAAGCCCAGCGCTAAGGGCCCAGATAGTGGATGTAATCCGCCGTTCCCACGCAGTGTTCGCATGGGGGCCAGAGGACATGCCGGGCATAGATCGAAGCATCATAACCCACAAGCTCACAGTCGACCCCAACGGAAAACCAGTGCATCAGCGAAAAAGGTATATGTCGGCAGAACGAAGAGAGTTCGTGAAAAAGGAGGTAACCGCTTCACTCCACGTGGGGCACATCAAGGAGATTTACTACCCACAATGGCTGAGCAACGTAGTCTTGGCTCCCAAAGGATCAACGTGGAGGATGTGCGTGGACTACACGGACCTCAATAGGGCATGCCCTATGGACCGTTTCCCACTACCCAATATAGATCAATTGGTGGACGAGACGACAGGATGTGAACTCATGAGCTTCATGGACGCCTTCCGTGGGTACCATCAGATATCCATGCATGAGGAGGACGCCGAAAAGACCGCCTTCACCACTCCCGAGGGGATATTCTACTACTTGGTCATGCCATTCGGAATGAAGAATGCCGGGGCCACATACACTCGCATGGTGGCAAAGCTGTTCAAGACGGTATTGGGACGAAACATGGAAGCATACGTGGACGACATGATTGTCAAAAGTCGCAAGGCCACCTCCCATGTCGAGGATCTCAGCGAGGTATTTTCCATTTTGAAGAAATTTAATTTGCGCTTGAACCCAAAAAAATGCACCTTCGCCGTTGATTGGGGCAAATTTTTGGGCTTCATGGTCACTAGGAACGGCATTGAGCCGAACCCAGAAAAGGTAAGGACTATCCTTGACATGGAACCTACGCGGTCCAGAAAGGAAGTCCAGAGACTCAACGGGCGTCTGGCGGCCTTAGGCCGTTTTCTATCTAAATCGGCTGAACGTTTCCTTCCCTTCTTCCAAATCTTGAAAAAGAACAAAGGGTTCGAGTGGACGCCAGACTGTCAAAAGGCGTTCGAGGAGTTGAAAAAATACTTGTTGTCCCCGCCCCTGCTTGCAAAGCCAGAAGCAGGTGAAGCTCTAATCTTGTACGTGGGCGTGTCGCAGAGTGCGATCAGCTCCGTGCTGGTCAAAGAAGAAGGAGGGACTCAGCGTCCCATCTACTACATGAGTAAAGCCTTACACGACGCGGAGCTCCGGTACAGTGTGTTGGAGAAAACAGTATTTGCCATAGTCACCTCATAAAAAAGGTTGGCCCACTACTTCCAAGCTCACCCCATCCACGTACTCTCACACCAGCCATTGGGGAGCTTCCTCCGGAATACTAACAGCTCTGCCGGGATGGCACGGTGGGCCATGCACCTCAGTCAGTTTGACATAGATTTCAAACCAAGGCCCGCCATCAAAGGCCAAGCTCTTGCAGACTTTATAGTGGAGTGCACAGCTCGGGAAGTGACGGACCAAGTAGAAACTGAAGATGGAGGGTGGTGGACCTTGTCCACAAACGGTTCTTCCAACAGCAAAGGTTGCGGCGGTGGCGTAGTGCTCGTCACTCCGGAGGGATTCCGCGCCTACTATGCCATCCGATTCCACTTCAAGTTATCTAACAATGAGGCGGAGTATGAGGCCCTCCTCATGGGCTGCGGTTGGCGGCGGGACTACGAGCTGAAAATGTCCGAATTCGATGCGATTCCAAACTTGTAGTCAGCCAGGTGTCTGGGGAGTACGAAGCGAGCGAAGGAAGCATGCAGAAATACAGAGACGCGGTGCTGAAAACCTTGTGCGAGTTTGAGGGGTATGAAATACATCAGGTACCAAGGGAACAGAACGCCGACGCCGACATGCTCTCAAAACTAAGTACCGGAGTCCCCAGCCACATTAGGAAGATCGCTCGGCTAGAAGACCTCGAGACTTCAAGTATCGACGTTTCGTGGGTCTTCCCTGTGCAGACTAGGGAGCCATGTTGGATTGATCATATCAAGCGATACAAGGCAGATGACACCTTACCACAAGACGAGGCAGACGCAAAGGAAACAAAGTTACGGGCAGCTAGCTACGTTGTCTCGGGCGATAAGCTATACAAACGCTCCTACAACGGCACGTTACTGAGGTGTCTATATCCAGATGAAGCCAAGTTGGTGATGAAAGACGTCCACGAGGGGGTATGCTCCGCGCACCAAGGAGCGTACACCATTGCACGGCGCATCATGTTACAGGGGTATTTTTGGCCCAAAATGCTGAGGGACTGCGCCGAGTATACAAAGCGATGTCCCAAGTGCCAATAATTCCAGGCACTACCAGGTCGACCTGCGACGAATTACACCCCGGTAAGCACCGCGATTCCTTTTTCAAGATGGGGAATTGACCTGGTAGGGGCCCTTCCCACGGGGACTGGAAGCAGGAAATACATCATTGTGGCCATCGACTATTTCACGAAGTGGGTGGAGGCCGAGCCCCTGGCAAGCATCACCGCAGCAAGGTGCAAAAGGTTCGTCGAGAAAAATATCCTTTATCGTTTCGGTATCCCTCTCCAGGTAATCACAGACAATGGTCGTCAGTTCGAGGCTCGAGAATTTTCAGAATTCTTAGCAGGATGGGGCGTTAAGCACAGCCGGGTGGCGGTATCTTATCCTCAGGCAAACGGGCAAGTGGAGAATGCGAATAGGACCATCCTCGACGGCCTCAAGAAAAAGCTAGAAGTAGCCGACGGAGCCTGGGTGGAGGAACTCGACGGGATCCTCTGGGCCTACCGCACGACACCAAGAAGGGCCACCGGAGAGACACTGTTTGCACTTGCCTATGGATTCGAAGCTCAGGCCCAGGTGGAAGTAATCATACCTAGTAGAAGGGTGGAGGAGTTCGAGTCAGAACAAAATGAACTCCACCAAAGGGTGGATCTGAACTTCTTGGACGAAGAGAGAGAAGCGGCATTCTGCAAGATGGAGAACTACAGTTGTCAGCTAAAGTCCTACCACGACGCAAAAGTCCGACCCCGATATTTCCAAGTCGGCGACCTTGTGTTGCGAAGAAGGGAAGCCAGCCAACCCCTTGAAGGGGGAAAATTCGCAAAGAAATGGGAGGGGCCTTACGCCGTGGAAGAAGTCGTTCGCCCAGGAACATACAAGTTAAAAACGACAGGGGGAAGGATGATCGATCGGGTATGGAACTCGGAACATTTGATCAAGTATTTTCCATAAATATCATGTAGTAGTAATCATTGGAACTAGTACTTGGTAATCGCGGTCCGTCCGCTAAAGTTCTCTAAAATAATATTTTATTTTCATGGTCCGTCCATGTTGTTTAGTAAAGCAAGTTCGTTATCATCTCGCACGAAGCTTTCTGAAACAATATCCTCGTGATCCGCCCATGTTGTTAAAAAAAAAAAAAAAGCACGCGCCTCGGCCAAAGGTTGGCCGAGGCACACGCCTCGACCAACGCAAAAAAAAAACATTTTTATTCCGAAGTAATTGGTTTATTCCAAATATTCCAAAACAAAAGCAAGTTGTTCGAACATAGAGAAGCAAATTGTTCAAACATAGGAAAGCACAGGAAAGCAAATTGTTCAAAGATATAGCTAGAAAGCAAGGGAAAAATCTCAAGTATGACTACGAACTACTCGTTGTCCGTAAGGTCCTCAATCACAATCTGATCAAGTGGAACATTGGGGACGTTGCTAGTGTCGATGCCGTGAAACTCATCCACCAAAGAATCTTCATGAGCGTCAGTAACATCATCAGTGGATTCATTCTGGACATCAGGATCAGGATTCTTCTCTATGACAGGCAAGCCGAGGGATACGGGATCAAAATTTGGAACCTTCTCCCTCAGCACTGGAAAAATCTCCTGTTGCTTCGTATACTGCCCAATGTTAAAAGCCACCTGTGCCTCGGCCTCGACCGCCTCTTGGCCAGCTTCAGTTTTGAGGAATTCCCGGATAGCCTCAGGAGTGCTCATATAATGCATTGCGTCCTCTTTGAACTCGGCTGAATGTTTGTAGGCCTCCACAGCCCGGCCAAGGGCGTCAGCATGGTCAGCACGTGTCCTCTCATGGTCCTCCCGCTCCTTCCCCAGGGCAAGTTTAAGCGCTCCGTGCTCTTTTCTTAGGGCCTCAAGCTCGCTCTCCAGCTTGCTCAGAGCCTCCTCCCGGGCCAACAGCGCTTGGTGCTCCTTCCTTAGCGCCCCAAGCTCGCCTTCCATTTTGCTCAGAGCCCCTTCTCGGATTGACAGCAGGCCCTTCAGGCTCTTGTTGTCCACATTCATAATTTTAACATCCTCAATGAGCGCGTCCGTCACCCGCCGTCGTTGGGCATGAATGATCTGTCCCTCTAACAGGGCCTGAAAGTAACAGACAGAGTAAGATACGCCAAGGCAGGGAAAGAACATAAGTATGAGAAAACTGACCTCAAAAATGTGTCGAAGATAACGCTCTTGCAGCATGTTGACATCCATGGCGACGAGGTGTTCCAAGTCCGCAGGAGGAGAAATACGAGCAGCATACTCAACCGCATCAAGAGTTTTATTTATTAACGATGCTCCCGGTGGCATGTCCGCTCCCAGCCGGATCAAGTTGGTCCGAACACGCGAGCCGGACTCAAGGGAAGTGTCTCCTTGCACCTCGGGGGGTTGAGGGGAAAAGGTAACAGATGTGGGTGTGCGAGTTGATGGAGGCTGCGTCACCCCCTCGGCGACCTTGGATGGAGAAGGCGTAGGTGTGCGAGTTGATGGCTGCGTCACCCCCGCGGCGACCTTGGATGGAGTAGGCGTGCGTGCCGGCGGGGGCGGCATCACCTCCTTGACCGCAGCTTGGCTCTTTTTACCTTTCTCTACCTTGCTTTTCTTGGCGGGGGGATCTTGCGATCGCGACAAGTATCGACCGGTTCTCGAAGACGAAGACATAGTACCTGCAACAAAAGAAGACAAGTTAGAGTTAGTGGTTGATGAATAAAGACTAAGTGATAACAGAAGAATACCCGTGGGTGCAATAGCAGCAGGTTGAGTCCTCACGAAGCCTAAGCCCGCGAGCTTCCACTCGGTAGTGTAATCAACGATCGATAAAAGACCATCCCCTAGTAAATCATCTACATCTCGGCGGAGGGAAGGACTCATGTCAAGGGTAGGAGGGCAACGTAAATGGGATCCCCACGTGACACGAAGGGAGACGGACAACCCACAAGGGTGACAAAGACGTATTTGGGTTTCCAATCCTTGTTAAAAGTAGGACGGTCCTCAAAGAGTTTGAAATACGGCCTGCTCGATACCATGACAAATCCCTTACCTTCCTGAGAAGCCCTACCAACTATGAAAAGAGCCTGGAAAAATCTAGCGTGGGTTCTATCCCTTTGTCCTTACATATAGAAAGAAAGCCCGCAATCACCTGGTGACCATTGGGAACAAGCTGGCCGGGGGCTATCTCGTAGTGGTTCATAAAATCTATCACAAACCTATGAAGGGGAAACCGCAACCCAACCTGTAGCGACAGAAGGTGGACCCCAAAATACTTATCGAGGGGTGGGTCAGAGATATTACCCTGAGGGTTAGGAGGAAGAGTCATAACGTCAAGACTAAGGAGACCTCTAATATCATCCCAATCCCGTGACCCTAGTTGAGGCCGTATGGACAGGACGAGGGACTTATTAAGAACGGAATATGAGGCGTTGTGATAAACATTATTTTTAGTGTTATTTTAAATAATCTTTTTATAGTTAATTTGTAATAATTGATTAATTTATATCTATTTTTATTTATTTTTGCTATAAGTAATTTTTATTAATATTGTTTATCTTTAGGATTATTTTTATTAAATTTGTCTATTATTTGAATTCTGTCAGTCTAATAATTCGAGAATTCCGATAGGAGTAGGGGGGACTGGTGAAAGGATAATAGGGCTGGAACCCGACCTGGATCACAAGTGGGCATCCGACCCGGCACCACATGAAAACCAACGGGCAGAACCTCAACGGACAGAATTCCAACAGATGCCTCATTTACTGCCATTGAAGCCAGCATTGAAGCCCTCATTGATGAGAGAGAATTAAAAGCTTAGGCTCCCCATTTATGTCCCATGTTGTTACCGTTAGGACCCTAGTATAAATGGGGCTCTCCTCAGCTAGCAAAGGACACACGGTATTTTCTATACTGAAACTAAGACAATACAACTATTGTTACTCTCTCACATAGCGTTATTATAATATTATTATTACCGGTAACATTATTACCATATATATATATATATATATATATATATATATATATATATATATATATATATATATACATATTATTTATTTATTTATTTATTTATTTACGCGCCCAGGCGGGCGCTTACAGTGCATGCGCTAGCCTGGGCGCGAGAATTGCACCTCACGTGCGTGAGACGCAACATTCTCTCCCACAATGGAACCCATTATTTTTGCAAAATCTTCACTCTTGCAGGACCCCCCCCCCCCCCCCCTCTCTTTCCTCCACCTCACCCATAATTTCTCAAAATCTGGTCCAAAATTCCCCTTCTGGGATGCTCTTAAGACACTTTTGTTTATTGACCATTACACTTTGTAGTGTTGGGGTGATCAACTATCACAATCTATACTAGTTTACCTCTTTGTAATCTTTTGTTGGCTAGGGACACAATGCGAGTAAGGATGTCAATCGAGCCAGCCCGTTAAGTTTCGGGCTAGTCCTGTAAGGTTGTCAGACTAATCAGTTCGGGCTAATCGATTTTATTTATTTATTTTGTCAGGTTGGCCCTAACTCTAAAGCTCAAGTTGTCGGACTTATCGGGCTGGATGAACCACTAAACTAAAATTGAAATGTGAGAATGAGTACCCACATTTAGAGTTGTCAAAAAACAGGCCCAATCGACTGGGTTGGATCTCTTTAGCTCGGTTTTATTACATGTAAGGGTGTATATTTCTCAGACCCGGCCCATTTAACCCGTAAAGGGGTACTCGAGTTATACAATACACGGGCCAACTTATATAACCTGCCACCCATACCTTCACCCTAAATTTATGTAAATATTTTGTTTAATTTAAACGTGATTTATATTAGAATTTAAAAGTATTGTGAATAGTAATAATTGAACTCTGATCTGAACTTGTTATTTAATATTGAGTTATTGACATAATACGATCAATTATTTTTTAAAATAAAAGGCTAATTCATTAATCATAAGCAGAAATGTTTACAATACAGATCGTTAGAATGACAATGCATTCTTTACAGTTAGACATAGAAACAAATTTCCTATAAATGTTATAGAATACTTGGATCGCAATCTGTTTTACAAATTTGAAGACGAAGTTGTTAGATGAACTCGGTGCTTCTTCACAGATCTGGTCAAACATAGCCAAGCCTGACTCTAGTGACACCATTTTATCATTCCACGTTTAGGAGAACTCGCCAAAGAAACGAGAGGAAAACCCAACAAAGAGACGAGAGGGAAACACTCGCCAAAGAGACGAGAGAAAACAAACTAGTCAAAGGAACAAAAGGATAACGTAGAACCAAAAGAAAAAAACATAAACGAAAAAAAGGGTAGAAAACCTGTTAGATCTGTAGAGGCTCTGAAGCTTTCTAATACGACCAATTATAGTAAAGGTATTTTTAGAACTTTATTGTATAACTATATATTTATTTAAATTATTCAAAAATATTATATAATTATATAATTATACAACACATTATATATATATATATATATATATATATATATATATATATATATATTTATTTATTTATTTATTTATGTATAACTTAGTCATATTATTTTTTATTACAAGTATTAATTAATACGATTAATTGTCACTTTATATAAACATTAATATAATGTTTATTTATTACATAAGCTATGTAAATTTATAAATTATACATTTTATAAATTTTATAACCTAATATTGTAATATTATAATTATAAAGTAAAAATATTACATATAAACTATATTAGTATTAAATAAATCTTAATTATATTTCAAATTAGCACATTTACATTAATAAATATAAACTTATACATTATTCAATCAACTTAAATCTGCATTTCTAAATTTCGGCCAATTAAAAATAATTACTATAATTAGTTAATTACACTATAATATAATAGTTATAGTAAGTTTTTAACTTTTCATTATTTATTTTCATAAAAAAATATATTTTATAATATACTAGTATTTTCACCCGTGCGATGCACGAAATGGATTTGTTG